CTACAGTCCATAGCATCACAAAGAGTCAGACATGAGTGAAGCAACTTGGCGTGCATGCACCTTGTCACCTCATCAGGTCCATGTGGTTAGTAATGTTGCCTTGCCATTCTGAGTTTAATATAGAATGCTGCTGATAATATTCTAAGAAGTGAAATTGGGCATCTCTGGTGCGGTTGAGTCTTAGTAGCAAACAGGAGTTGACTGCTGCATTGGGAGATTAATATGAAGCAGACCTTGATGCCCCATTGGCATCATGGTGCTGTGACAACCAACCTTCCCAAAAGTATGTGTTCTCTCTTCATTCAGCTTTCAGTTCCTGTCAGTGGAGATCCCTGGCTAGTAGGCAGTGAGGTCTTCAAGGACTTGGGGTCACGCCTACGCTCTGGACTTTTCTTGTGTGAATCAACACACACTTTTTTTTTTTTTAAGGCTAGCATAGCAGCTCAATATAGGAGTCAGTGAACTTCAGCCCTCCCTGGTCACAAGTCTGTTGGTTTCTCAAATTATATTTATTTACGCCATTAAGAAGAATGATTTAGCAGCACTGTCAATGCTGTCTAGGTATAGTTATTCTTTTGCAGTGGGGACAAGAAATTGGAAGTCAGTCACCCATGTGAGAGGGAAGATGAAAGAGACCGTGTCTCTGTGTTGCAGCAGCCCAGCTGAAGATGAATAAAGGGAGCCTGTAATTGCCTGTGAGCATGGCAGTCACTATGATGCGGGAACCGATGTTTAGGGCTGAGCAATGGGGCATAAAAGAGGAATATCTTGATGATGATGGAGTGCACTGTAGGGTGATGGCTGCTGACTCATGGACTCTGTCCAGGTACTGTCAGGGTCTCAGCACGGTCTTTAAGCTCTCTCCATTTTGAAAGTTTGGAGAGGTCTTGAAAAACAGTATAATTTGTGAAAGCAGGTGCTGATGGAGTTCACTGTAGATACCTTCTTTTGGACAACACAAGGACTCCCTCATTTCTTCCTATATAAGGTATGATAGGTTTAGCTAGGCAAGGGAGGATGTGTGTGTGTATGAAAATATACATAACAAAATTTGTTATTTTAACCTTTCACACTTTATAGTATATTAAGTATACAGTTCAGTGGCATTATTAAGTACTTTCATATCCTTGTGCAACAATCACCACTATCCATCTCCATAAGTTTTTCATCAAATTGAAACTCTGTACTCATTAAACAATACTGTCTCATTCCCCTCCACTGCACCACCCACCGCCCCAGCCCTCCAGTAACCAGTGTTAAACTTTGTATCTCAATGAATTTGACTATTCCAGGGACCTCCAATAAGTGGAATCATATGATATGTCACAATATGTGTTCTTTTGTATCTGGCCTATTTTACTTAGAATGCCTTAAGTTTCCTCCATGTTGTAGAATGTGTCAGTTTCTCTCCTTTCAAAGGCAAAGTCATAATCCATTGTTTGTATATGCCACATTTGGTTATCTATCCATCCATTCATCCATCCATAGACATTAGGGTTGTTTTCACCTTTGAGCTACTGTGAATAATGCTGCTTTGAACATGGACTACAAACATCTGTTTTGGGTCCTGGCTTTCACTTTTTATGTGTATATACCCAAAAGTGGAATTAGCAAGGACGGTCTCAGTAGGTGAAGTGGTAGATGTGAACTTTCTGGGGGCTGCTGTGGAGCTTCAGTAGATGCTCAGGTCAGCAGCAGCCTGGTGACAGCCCCAGACAAAAGCTGACGGATGAGAGATGTAAGCCTGTGGCCCCATCTTTTCCTTCCCCTGGCACCAGCACAGCGCCAGCTCCCCACGGTTCTTTTGGTCCCAGCTCTTGCCTCTGTAATGCTGGCTGCATCCTCCTTTCCTCCCTTCTGTGGCTCCCCTGCCCCTCACCAAAACCCTCGAGAGCAACACCTGGGCCACCTGAGCTTCCCTTTCTTCCTGGTAGCTACCTTACAGGTTATAACCTTAGAGATTATGATCAAACTTTGCCAGCATTCTTATGTATAACTGAGCACCAGAAGCCATTTCTCAAGACTGCTTTGTTATATAGAGTTCCTAGGTCTATTTTCCCTTTACTGTCCTATTTGTAGTCAAGAGAAGTAACCCAAAATGTAAGACCATGTCCTGACTGCTAAATCTGTATTGCATTTCAGGTGATACAGAACTTACTGGAAGCTTTTAAATCTAGGCAGGTAACATTATTCTCTGATGCCAAAGTAGGTCTCCAGAGGCTATATTTAATTCTTTATATAGACATTCTGCTGAATTTGTTGCTGACCTGATATTTTCCTACTTCAGAGGGATACTTCAAGCATACATCTTTGAAAGCATACATCTCATGTTTGAGGACATGTGTTTATGGAGGTCTTGCTTCTTGTTTGTTTGTTTTTTTTTTTTTTGAAATTCAGGATGAAAACAAAGGAAAACTCATGCCAAGAAAAAGACCATATGTAACCTAGATGGAACCAAGGTACAATCTGAGTCTTAGTAATGTACTTATTTTTGTACATAACCTTAAAAGGTCGCAGATCTTTCTATTCTCTGTTGAGTAAAGACCCTGTGACCAAAACAGTGACAATAACCAGTATAAAAAGTCCATTCCAATAACCCACACCTCTGTGGTTGAAGCTTGACGAATTCTTGTTTCAGTCTGACCGACAGATTTCAGCTTTAAAATGGACCTCTCTTTATTGCCTCTAAATTTCTAGTTATGTCAGTAGACAGTACCTAATAAAGGTTTTAGTAAGCATATTGGAATTTTAGCAGTGTGTTTACAAAAAACACAAAGCTGATCAAAGTTCCAGTTGTAACAACAAGCTTGATGCAGCATTCAAACAGAGCAGCCAGATTGCTAGGCAAGCTCACCTCTCCTACAACAGAGTGGGAATGGTATTATCCATTAATTTCCACCCTGTGCAGCTGAATAATGCATTGACAGATGCTAATTTTCTTAAATCGTAGGCAGCAAATGATGCATGAATACAGCAGCAACACACTTTTCAGAGGCTCTTGGTAGTCATCAGAAAGAAAATTTGTATAAAGTTTGATGTAATCACTACCAACTATGGCACAATGTTGATGCTTTCTAATGACTGCCTTAAATCCATCTGTTGTCCTCTTTTCCCTATTAACACTAATGGGGGTCCAGGCAGGAATAAAATATCCCATGTGTTGTGCTATCAGACCCTCCAATTTGTAACATTCATATGATTCCTAGGATGAGACTAGGAATAAAAACATCTAAAATCTAACCTATGACAGGATAATAAACATTATGTAAATGCTTCCTAATTTAATTATTTGTTCCAGTGGCTTAACAAAATTTTATTTCTTGCTCACCTTGCCATCCCTCATGTGTTGCATAGCTCTTTGTGTTTATTATTTTAAGTTTATATTTATTGAATGTTCATTATATAATGTATTTTCTTTTTTTGATTTTAGCACCACCCTGTAAGTTTACCCCTGTTTTACAGCTGAGGAACCTGAGGCTTGGAGAAGGTCGTGAATAAGTGATGGAATTAGTCTGGGGGGTCAGAATGGGCAGTCAGCATTTTTGTATGTAAAAAACTATCATCTTGCCATAAAATATGAATTTTCACATTTAATATGGTATGTGCATGCATGCTCAGTTGTGACCTACTCTTTGCCACCCCATGGGTTGAAGCCCACCAGGATCCTCTGTCCCTGGAATTTTTCAGGCAAGAATACAGGAGTGGGTTGCCATTTCCTCCTGCAGAGGATCTTCCTGACCCAGGGATCAAACCTGCGTCTCCTGTGTCTCCTGCATTGGCAGGTGGATTCTTCACCACTGTACCACCTGGGAAGCCCATTTGTTAATATATTTCAATTTATTTCAATAGTTAATATATTTCAATATATTAATACATATTTCAATTGTTATTATATATCAATAGTTATTAACCAGTGGGTGCTTGTGAAGTGCATGCCTAAGGAAAGATATGGGGTTTCTTTTATAAGGAACACACCTGCTGGGGAGAAACTGGGCACAATGTCCCTTCTGCTGTAGGGTCACCAGGCACACGGGCCACAGCCCTCACGAATCTGGGAGGGATGAAGCTGGAGTCCCCACACATGCAGCCTGTAGAGGAAAATCTATGGATTGGCTACTGTCTTTTCATTGTATTCATGTGTTTTTTGGGAAAGAAGTGCCCACTTGTTCTTTCATCATTCAACAAATATTTAATGAGTTCCTGCTATGACCAATTACTGTGCTACAGCAAAATACCAAACGGGGTCTCTATTTTTACTGAGCTTCATTACTATGTGAATATTCATGCCCATCCTAACAGGAAGGTGTATATCTTATGTGTTGATAACTTGTCTAATCTGTGTACTGTAGAAGTAATACAATGTGAATGGTTTAGCTGTTTGACTTTTAAAGACATACACATATATATGTGAGTTTAAGGCTGATGTAGATTGCTCAGTGAGTCTACAATGACATTAATGGCCTGCTTTATGCAAATGGGTACCATCATCTGTCCTGTGGACACAGCTGGATGAACACCAGTAGCTTCAGAGACAGAGAAGCTGGGAGAAAAGGGCAGCAGCCCCATTTCACCTTGAAAGGCTCCCAACTCCTCCTTTTGTCGGTCGTGATCTTCGTAGACACGTTTCTACTGCATTCCTATCTCACTTTCCATGTTTTAGATGTTTTAAAAGTACATTTCTCAATGCACATGTTTATTTCTACAATGCTGAGGATGCTTTGTATATGTGTGTGTGTATATATATATCCTCAACTCCTCAACATAGTAACAAGACCCTTCGTCTTGCCCTACAAATTGTGGAGATGAAGAGACTTACCTGGGTTTATGTGGTGACTTCGGGTCAAAACTTAAAACTGGATCTCCCGACTTGAAACAATCTGCTTCCGTATACTGCTGTACAATATAATTGTAATGTACGGCTGAAATGGTATATAAGGATTTCTACAGAAGCACTGCCTTTCTGCCCACTACTCATACTGCCTTCTTTTTATCCCCGACAGGCAGGTATCTCCTTCCAAACCCGGCTGCGGGGCAAGCCTGGGCAACCTCTGCAGAGACGTCCAACCTCGTGCGCATGCGCAGCCAGGCCCTGGGCCAGTCGGCGCCCTCTCTCACCGCCAGCCTGGTGAGTGTCCCCGGGCTCTGTCTGCGGTTGGTTGGGTTTGCTCCGTCTCACCACCAACGTAGGGACGGCTAAATTTATTGAGTTTATTGTTCTAGATTTGAACTTAAACCTACATTTAATATTAAGCACAGATTTAACACTGAAATTTTTGATTTCCCGCGTGCTGGTTTTTACCAGATCCTCCCCCTCAACCTAAGTTGGAATATTTTTGTAAACTTAACTCTGTCTGAACTTTTCCCTTGAAAGAAATGAAAATGGTTCTAAGCTTTTCTTAAAAAAAAAAAAAAAACTTATTTGAAAATAATTTCAAACTTACAGGAAAGTTGCAAGAATAAGACAAATACATACAGTGCCAGCCGATCCTTTGCCTGGGTTTAAGTATTAACTCTTGCCTATTTGCTGTACTGTTTGTTTTCTCTCCCCGTGAATATGTATATACACTCACATAAAATATTTTGAACTCTTTGAGAGTAGGTTATATATGTCATGGCCTTTTGTTATCACAGGTAACTTCATTAAATTTATGCATGAAAGAAGTCTTTTATCTGCTCTGCCATCTGTATTTCATTTTTATCAATTGTCCCTATAATGTCCCCTAGTATTTTCCCTCCTTCAGTAGAGGATCCAGCCTGGGGTCGTGTATTGTACTGAATTATCCTTTAATCTAGAAACTCTCCCCAGTGTTTGTTTCCTTTTATGACACTGACAGTTTTGAAGACTATGTGACATCCCCACCCTATTACTTAAAGGAATATTCCTCATATTACAATGTCTGGTGTGTCTGATGTTTCCTTACAGTGAGCTTTGGGTTTTGCATTCCAGCCCAGAATGTGACATTGGTGATGTTGTATCCTTTCAGGTCATGCCATGGGCAGGTGATGGTATGTCTATCTGCCCATCATTATTATGTTAATTTTTTTCACCCAGACAAGGCATTGGCCAGGTTCTCCACATAGTTAGAACTTTTCTCTTACAGTCAATAAGCTTTTGGCAAGGGGACACTTTGAGGCCATCCAAGCATGTTTCTTCTCATCAAAAATTTCCTTTGGATTCCATATTCATTGGTGATTCTTGCCTGGATCCTTCTCTTCTAGAATCATTGAAAATGTTTATTATTTTCAGCTCCAGCACATTCTCTACACCTACAGGTTGGCACATGGCATAAATATTTACGCATTTGTTAGCAGCATGGGCTCCTACACTCCTTTTAAAACAAAAAGTAATATAGACTTTTATTTTTAACCATGATGCTTACTAGAATTTTGTTTTCCAGTGGGCCCATTACTTTTCACCTTTAACCTTTGGCACAGCCTAGAGGTCTATACAGGTTGCTTTTGCATTAGTGCTGGGGTTTTATCATATAGGAATAGATTTTGAAATATCTTTTACTGATGGTGATGCAAATGATATGTCAGTGCCTTATAATTTTATACATTGATAATAAATTATATGAGATATTTGGAAATCATTCAGTAATGTAGAGAGATCTGATTTAGGTCTAACCTCTAATCCTGCTTTTGTTGTTAGGTATCTATATACATTTAAGCATGTTGCTTAGTTTCTTAGATTTTATTAGCTCATTGGCAAACTGCAAGACGAAACAACCTATTAAACAGTCTCTGGAAGTCAGCATTGAAACTCACTGTTTCTAGTTTCAGAATCGTAAAGATTCAGAACATACTGGATAATTATCCCTGAAAAGTTTCTTTGAGGATATTTTATGACCTCAAAATTGACTATAATCTTTAAATCAAAATTTATCTTCTCAGGAAAATTTGGAGACTTATTTTTAAAGGTTCAGTTAAATGATGCATTTTAGCATTTTCCCCATCCCATCCCTAAGTTCAAATTTACTTTTCCTTCTTGAGAAATTTTATTAAAAGCTTATTTTACTGTAAGCATTTACTTTTTAAGGAAGGAAGAAAATTCCTCACAATCAGTGATTTTATTTTTTTTTAAACATAAGTGCTTTGGGCGCCACTACAATATTATTCTTACATGTAAATAGATAATCCTGTATGTTTATTGCCAAGTAAATCGTCCTAATTAAAACAACACTGCCACAAAGTAATGTGTCTAATACTGGTAGTTATGTACTCAGACCAGAAACTGATTGATTCATTGATAAAACACGTGTCAGGTGACCTAAGATATTTGGAAATAAGATGCAAAACCAAGGAGAATAGCATTCTTATCAGAGAGTCCCTTATCAGCTTATTTACCCTGCAAGTATTTATAGGGTTTAGGAGCAAGACTAGAGAAAATGCTAAAATACCATAAAAAGCAAACTTAAAATAGTACCTGGCACCTAGCAAGCCTCAAATATTAGCCAGAGTAAAAATCACATGTGGCACCAAAGCCAGATGGTGACTAACCATTTACTACTAGACAGTGAAGGTTTAAAATGTCACCTTCATCATATCTTTTCTTCAGAGGTTTCCTTGCTTCCTGATTGTTGTCTAAGGAAAACCACTTGCAGGCTGTTTGCCCATGTCCTCTGTCCCCCGCCTTCTGGCGTGTCGTGAGCAGGAGCAGCCGGAGGAGAGCTGCCCGGCAGAGCCCCGTCTTGATTTCCTCGTTGTTCGGCAGCATGCTCAGGTTTCTCTGCCGTGTCTCTTATTTCAGTATGTGACTCAGTATGCGTTCATGACTTTGCCTGTCTTTTTCTGCCCTTTGCAGAGTCATTCAGGTTAGTCTATGTTTCTTGGATTGGATTATATCTAAATTATGCCAGTTATACCTAACAGACTTGGTAGAGAATGATGCTGAAGGAGTATTAATGTCTATCTATTGGACCTTTTTCTTTTTCCTTTCTATCCCCCCTTTTCTTGTCTTCGAAATAAGCCTTATGTTACTGGAAGTGCATTTCACAGTAGAAGATGAGAGTTGTTAGTTGCTCATTCGTGTCCTACTCTTTGCAACCCCATGGACTGTAGCCCACCAGGCTCCTCTGTCCTTGGAATTCTCCAGGCAAGAATTCTGGCCTGGGTAGCCGTTCCCTGGGGTCGAAACCAAGTCTCCTGCATTGCAGGAGGCGTTTTTACTGTCTGAGCCACCAGTAGAACATGCTTCACTCTCATCCTCTCTCCTGGCCACGATAAGCCCCTTTGTCCCCATCTTAGACCTGTAAGCTGACCTTCCTTCTGACTCTTAGCGTTTATCAAGGCCCACCTTTGTTTTACTTCTTTGTGTTTATGCCTGATATCCCCCTGCTAGACTGCACGTTCCTTGAGGGCAGAATTCCTGTCTGATCTGACATTCTGCTCCTCACTGTTCTAGCACAACACCTTGCATATAGGAGACATTCAGTAAATAATATTGATGGAAGGGATAATCATTGGTGGAAAGTGACAGATTCCGTAAGTTGCAAGGCTAGAGTGATGATGTGATCCTGTATGCTATAATGGGTGTCTAATTAAGACCATCTATCTGAAGTATTTTTGGTCTTGCTGTCTAGTGCATCTTATAATCATGATTAGCCTCAGAGTCCATGTAATGGACCAAATCCCATTCAGTTGTAAAGAACCCGCCTGCCAATGTAGGAGACATAAGGGGCATGCGTTCAATCCCTGGGTTGGGAAGATCCCCTGGAGGAGGGCATGGCAACCCACTCCAGTGTTCTTGCCTGGAGAATCCCACGGACAGAGGAGCCTGGCGGGCTGCAGTCCATAGAGTTATAGAGGGTCAGACACAACTGAAGTACACAGGTGCGCTATTGAAAGTCCCATATCAGCTGCTGACAAAATACGGTGGCAAAATGAAGAAATTATCACAGTCCATATTCAAGGAAGTTCCCTTAACTTGCTTGTGAGTAGTCATGCAGTCACATTGGTTTAAGTATTTTGTTGATTCTTTGAAGAGGAAAGTTGAGGCGACACATATGTTCAAGTGTGGAAAAGTTGGTAAAATCAGAATGAATGTGGTTTATGTCTAAATGACAGGATTACACTTGATATCACAGTTTTATGTTCAACACAACAGTAGAACATGTGGGGAAAGTATAGACCCTCAATCTGAGAGGCAGTCATATGTTAGTAAGATATAAATGAAGGCCGTGGTTGGGGTGGTATGAGTTTCAGTAAATGCATGACCTACTGTGATTTAAATGCCATAGGCAAGCTTCAAGGTAATGCTAACTACCTTCTCAAGGAGGAGATTAATTCCTAGCCGGAAGTATCTAGTTTTCCTTGGCAATGCTAAATGTAGTTGTGTTCCTTCTCCCAGACACATTGGGCATTTCTGATAAATGGCACATTGCCAATTTATCCTAGGCAGCCTGGTAGCTGGCAGAATACACGCTCAGCCAGTGTCCGCCTGCTGGGGCACCAGCCGGGAGTGCTGATGAAGTGTCAGATGTATACCTCGTATACATTAATCTGAAGAGGGGAAAACTCATTTCCCCATTTGCTTCCTCCATCTTTCTGTCCCTCCCCACACACATGGGTAGTTTATCAAAGAAGTCGTAGTCGTCAAAAGCAGGGGATTTGTACTGATGCTGCTTTCTGGTAAGAAAGATGGAAATTTCAGGAGGCAAAGCAGGACCCGGGGTAATTTTGTCGGTAGGAAAATAAGGTTGTAAGCCTTGGTGATTAAAGTTTAGAAATGGTATATGTAACCATCATAAGAAATAATCACTTCTTTTGTTGTTTGGAGTGGTAGATGGATGGCAGAAACACAGTGAAGATTAGTTTCCAGTATTTTCAACAGTTTTCTGTTGGATTTGAATCATGTGGCTCATCTGTTTTGATTTTTGTGAGCATCCCTGTCATATTTTTTCTTATTGAGTGCTTCCTTGACCATTCTGTTTGAAAATCTTTTCCTCACTGCATGCCACACACCCCCACTTTTGTCAATAGCTTTATCTCCTTCCAATACACCACATAATTTGCTTATTATATATCTCCTATTATTCTGATGAAAAATTCTTGAGGACAGCTACTTTTTTCTCTTTTACCTAGTGTTTCCCTGGGGCCTAGAACAGTCCTTGGCACATAATAGGT